AAAAAAAAAAAAAAAAAAAAAAAAAAAAAAAAAAAAGGAAACAGAAAAAAGAGTGGCCGACATTCCAAATAGAATATCATGGGTTCCCTCATTTCAGGTTCAGGTTGTTGGATATTGGGTACTAGCATGTTTGTTTGTGAGATTGAGTTTACTCAATTTTATTAGTTAAGCATACCAATACACATGCAATAGCGCCTTGTTGTTTACTTTCATTACTCTAAAGATATGTTTGGTAAAATATAAAAGTGCTGATTTGTTTTTCCAGAAAATCTTTGGATGTTTTGGTTGTTTCGTCGATGAAAAATTGTTAACTGAGTTTTCCTAGTGGTGGTGAAATCACATGTAATTTTTTCAGCCAGGAAACCCTTTAACTTAATGCTCATCAGAATCAGTCATTTTACTTCATCAATCTTGAGATCGAAACATTTGTAATTATTTTCAACGCCTAGAATTTAGCGCAATAATTATTTCAGTTCTATGGTTCAAATTTCAGAATTCAAGTTCAGTTTTATCAAACAAGTCTAAGGTTTTGTATCTACTCGTTCCGTAATTTATTTAGTGCTGAATTGCTTTCATATGACTCAGGTTTCCGAGATTGCAATCCCGCATTATCTGACTGCATCAATCTTCTCTGCGCAAAGTAGTACAATCACCCTCTTTCACAAGAACGTGCGCCTCTTGGTTATACTGTGTATCACTGCTGGAATATGCAGGTTAAGATCTTGTACGGTCATGACCTCCCTTTCTTTTAAACAAACTATCTGGTTTTTAGCCGGTGTTCGAAATCTCCCAATGTAAATTGTTAGTTGTTGTGGGGGGAAGGAGGGGAGGATGAAGTGAGGGGGAGTAGAAGTAGTTGTTTGATCGGTAGACTATTGTTTAAATACTGATCCTTTTATCTGTTCATCAAACTTGCAGTGGAATCCGAGGTTGCTTGTTTGGCATTGCAAATATGATCCTCGTGAGTTGCCTGACCTTACATATCTACAGCTTCTACTGACAATAAAGATGCTGGTTTTGTTTATGAAAGATGAATTTGTTGAAGAGCATCTGCCAAATCTTCAATGATAATTGAATGAAAAATACAATCATGACTTCTGCTGCATTCACTTCTTATATGGAATAACAGCTCGTAAGAGTTACTTGTTAAAATAGTTATAAGAGAAAGCTAAGCTCCGATATTTCCTTGCCACTAGTCAATGGTTCGTGCAATTTTGTGATATCGTGAAACAAATCTATTAAATATTATTTTTATAAGTTTCTCCATCCGGAAAGAAAGAAAAAGATAAAACATTGATTTTCAGGTCAAGCGACTGCGGGAAAGATTGTACTCAACTCTTCTTCTTCAGGTTAATTGAATCTTGTAATATTGGCCGTCAACTAAGTTTTGGATTTTTTTTTTGTTAGATATCCTTAGAGATTGTTTAACAAATATTGCTTTATTTTGTAGGATATTTCCTTTTTTGACTCAGAAACAGTTGGTGATTTGACGAGTAGGCTGGGTTCAGATTGTCAACAAGTCTCTCGTGTGATAGGAAATGATCTAAACCTGATATTGCGCAATGTGCTTCAGGTTAGTTGTTTATATTATATTGAAAACCGTGTTTTAAGCTTTAGTTGTGAGTTGAGAATCTCAGTTTGTCAACCGTAGGGTTCAGGTGCTCTGGTTTACCTTCTCATTCTTTCATTGCCACTTGGATTATGTGTACTGACAATTTGCATCTCTCTCTCAAGCATTATGCTGATATATGGCCAGTAAGTTTTATTTAGATAAATCCTTTGTTAACTCTTGAATTTTTCTCTTTCACATAATTATTTATTTATTCCACTTATTGGCAATTGTGTGAACTTGACATGTGGCGTTTCTCTGGGAATACTTGTAGAGTCTTAAGTTTCCTGTAACTAAATTTGGTTGTATTCATAGTTAGAGTTTTACTAGTTTGAGAAAAAAATACTCTTTTTAAATTGGTATTTCATATTTTTCCTTTTGTAGTTCCAGTGCTAATCTCTCTTCATCTTGTCTCTTGCTTAGGTATCAAAAGAAATCTGCTAGGTTAATTCAGGAGTTCACTGCATCTGCCAATGAAGTAAATCAGACATCTTATATAATAATGTTAGTCAATATGCGGTTGCTTGATTTCGCAAAACTTTGATTTTCTGTAGGTAGCAGAAGAGACATTCTCTTTGATGAGAACTGTACGGGTTTATGGGACAGAGCAACAAGAACATGGAAGGTAAATTACATGACTATTACATTTATCGCCTTATTATCTTTTTTTTTTTTGTTGATGATAATATGAGTTGATGATGCTTGCTTTTACTCTATCTCCTTACACCAGAGATGGAAGTAGTTATCTTTCAATGACCATTTTGTATTCAACGACTCTATATTTTCGAAGATTAAAGTAGTCATCTTTGAATGACCATTTATTATCATAGTTTTACGCGCTCTAGTGAGAATGATGCTCCGTGAAAGAAATAAGAATACATCTTGTCCATTAGATTTAGATCTAGATCTAAATCTAGATTGGACAATCTAACAACTAAAAAAATGTCAATTTTTCATGCTTGAATCAGTCATTACATCATCCCAAATCACCTGACCAATAATGGGCCCCACCAAAACTCAAATTACACTTACCAACCCATTCCATCAACTCCCATCGTGTACCCTCTCTCTCTCTCTCTCGCGCACACACACACTCACAAAAACACACACAGGCTGAAAAAAAAACGACTCTCTCGGCCGCTCACTCACCAGTCACCGACATTCGCCCATCAATGGCGGTGGATACCACACAGCGGCGCTGGCTACGACGACCTTCTCCAGAGGTATAGCCTCGTCGTCGACCGCCGCGAGCAATCGACGGGTTTTTGCCCCTTCGGCAGTCGCAAGCCGACGCGCAGGTACGTCTACGCGACAAAAATCGGCGAGCCATAACGTCACCATTCCACTCAGGGCGTCTGGTCGGAGCCCACCGCCGCGCACGAGGTGAGCTTAAGAACGACTGTTTTTGGGCGGAGGGGTGACGAACATGTTTGCAGAGGTGGCGGATGGATTGATGGACATGAGACGGCGGGGTCATGGTCGAGAAGAAATCAGCCGACTGTTACCGGCGACGAGATGACATGGAGTTCTTTGCCAGAAAATCATTAAATTTGGGGTGCGGTTTTCTTATGAAAATAAGATATTTTTTAGGGTTATATTCATAATTTTTTGAAGTTTTATTATATTTCAATGGAAGTCATTAGTCAAATCTATAATATAGAATAAATTTATAAAGAAAATAGTATTTTTTTAAATATTTCCTTATACATATATATTAAAATAATAAATAAATATTAAATAAAAACGTTATAAAATATTAAAATAGTATTTGTCATATTGCAATTTAATGTCGGACAGACAGGTGCACTTTTGTGCATTTGATATTGCACTTTAACGTAGCAAATGTGCTGTCCGAAATGAATTGGTATATATATATATATATATATATATATATGTCAGTTCAGTTGGTATTTTTTATTTTTTAAAATAACCAACCGATAGAACTATAAAAAATATTATTTTATTGTATCTATTATGATTTCTCAACCACAATTAATATAAATTAGTAAAGAAGAGTATTAAAATAGTTAATATATTTTTAATATTATAAAATATAAATTGTTTTGTTTATTTAGCTTAATTCGGCTAATCGATTGAATAAATCAATTATATAAGTTCTATTTTACTTCGTTTTGTGTCAAGTCATTAAAAAATGCATGCACTACGAATGAACAATAGTGTTAGACAAATTGCAAACTAATGACTAAAAGATTGCACAAAGGTGTTATACGAATTGCACATTAATGACCTAATCGATTGAACTAAAATATACGATTGGAAAACTTATATTTTGGCTCTGTTATCTATTTTTATTCTTTAAAATATCGATTATTTCAGTTTGATATCGACTTTATTTTTCTTTAAATAATCAAAATAAACGAACCGATTGAATTATGTAAAAAATATTTTTTTGGGTAAATTGCAGTTTTAATGCTCAAACTAAAGTTCATTTCGGAATCAGTACCCGTTTTTTAACATTTGTAAAATCAATACCTAAACTTTTACTCCGTTAGCAACGTTAGTACCCTGCCGTTAGATGTCCGTCA